TCCTGAAACCATCCAGCAAAACCAAATAGGAACAGAATTTGTAATAAAAATAATAAAAGAGGGGCCGGCCCGGTGGCACACTGCTACAGTGTGCTGCTTGGGAGCGCGGTGGCGCTCCCGCCGAGGGTTCGGATCCCACATACAGACTGGTTCCCGCTCACTGGCTGAGCGAGGTGCGGGCGCAACACCGAGGGTTGCAATCCCGTTGCCGGTCCCGGTCCGGTACGGGCGCGACACTGAGGGTTGTGATCCATTGCCGGACACGAAAAAAGACAAAAAGGAAAAAAAAAAAAAAAGAAATGCTATTGTAAATTATTCTGTGAAATATTCTGTGAATGACTTCCTGGTTTATTCTGTGTTGTTCATTCATTACTATTACATAAACAGAAGTATAGTATTAATAATTTCTACATGTGAAGTATTAAACAACTTAATTTTTAACTTATTTTTCTTTGTCATTTAGAAGATGAAGATGACACGCTGATTTCCTGTTTGAAATTAACCAAATCCCAGGAAAAGAAAGTTAGTAATATTAATACAAGAATGAAAGAAGAAATGGAGGTTAGACTGGATTCTTTTTCTGCATCAGCGGGTAGATCCAGGTCTTCAAATGGGTGCAACTTGGATGGTGTGTTATCCCACTATGAAGATGAAGTTCAGATGTGGCACAGCTGGAAACCTTTTCCAGAAAACCTGCTCTGGACACGTGTTGATTTCCAAATTTCTCGTGTTGGACCCTGGAGCAACTGCTCCTCCTGTACTCACTACCCATATCTCAAGTCTTCTTACACAGATATGGATCTCCTACGTTCATGGGTAAGTTTGTAAACTACGGAAATGTATCATATCTTGATGTTTGTGCTGGTAGGAAGGAAACAGATAACAAACATGCTAATCAGTCAAATTTATCAGTGTCAGGAAAGTTACCAGGGCTACAGTTTTCTTTCCAAAAAGTAATAGAGTTCTTGAGACTTTTGACCATGGCAATATTGCATGTATTCCTTTGTGTACAAGTAGACTATTGAACGGTATTTCCAGGGATTTCCTTTTAATTCCAGGAAGACTTTGCATGTCCATTGAGATCAAGAAAATGTGCATTGTCTAAACTGTTATTGCAACAAAGTTTCACTGACTAATAAGAGCTAATTTTCATGAGCGTTTTCTTTGGTCTGCCATTCTCCTAAGCACTTTATGTGTATTATCTCATTTAAATCTCACAACAGCCCTATAAGGTTAGGACTGTTACTCTAATATTATCCTCCCACCCCTATTTTACAATTGAGGAAATTGAGACACAAAAAAGTTAGTAATAGGTGCAAATTCAGATAGCTAACAAGTGATGGAGCCAAGATCTAGAACCTAGATAATCTTATGCTAAAGAGCCTACTTTTAGCTAATATGTTGTAGTGTTTTCCATATGCTAAACTAGACTCTAAAGCTATATGGTACAAGAGAAAGAGTATGGACACTGGAGTTAAACGAATTTGGGTTTGAATCCTGGCTTTGCTACCTTTTCATCTTGGGCAAATTACTTAAACCCTTTAATCCTAATTTTACTTAAAACGGTAATAGTAATATTAAACTCATGAGGTACTTGAGAAGATAAAATTAAATATAAATCTGCTAGGACTGAAGTGTCTAACTTTTTTCAACTTGATTGTAAGTTCCTTAAGTCATGTATTGTACCCTTATCTCCCTATAGTACATAGTCATTTGTATTTGCAGTGAATGAATAAAACAACTTTGTGCATCCAGGAAGCCTCCTGCATGCCATTTTGCTGTAATAATCAGTCTCTTACTGGACAGGTGCTATACTTTTTGATACATTAGAGGTCTCTGAAGGGCTAATCTCTCTTGGAGTACTTTTTACCTTTTATGATTTGTTGTGTATCAAGTCTCTGAAAACTCGATCTAAAGTTACCTGTGTTTGAAATACTAAATTAAATATTACAGGTGTCCAGTAACAGACTTGGAACTGGTGGAACTGCCCAACATTAATCATTTTTAGGAATGTTTCTCCTACTACCTTAGTTCTCATATTCTCTTCTGACACTGCTGGATTTGGCAGGCTTTCTCTTGGAGCAACTTCTTAGGCAGTAGCTGATATTAGAATTGGGACCTGCTTCTGAAGACTCTCTCAGACAGCTTCAGAAGCAGGTTAAAGATGATGACCCCTTCGCATGAGGCAAAGCTGGTGAATAAAAGTCTAAACAGAAATATTCAGTTTCCTTCCAGAATAAAATCTAGATTCACTAACTTGGTATTTCTGGATTTCAGCAAACTAGCCTCAACATAATTTCTTAAACTTACTGCTCCTTCCTTATGAATTTTCTATGCTGAACTGCCGAACTGAATGATTTGCTATTCCTAAAGACTGTCTTGCACTTTCCTGCCTCTGTATCTTGGTGTTTGTGTCATGGCCTCTTCTTGGTATGTTATTTTCTCCTTTAGAATCATTCCCCCATCCCTTAAGATGCAGATCAAATACTTTATCCTCTATAATAACCCTTCCTAAATCACACCAGACAGAAGTAATTTCTCCTTCCTCTGGAATTCTACAACATTTAAGGACATTATTCTTTCATTATATATTCATCAAACGTATATTGGCACCTACTATTTGCCATTTACAATATTAGGCACTGGGGATACAGAACTAAACAATATATACACTGCCTCTGTCTTCATGGAGCTTACCATACTCCACCCTATACTGGAATTAGTTGGGATTTGTTTATTTCCAATAACTAATTTATCTTTGTATTTTCCATAATGTCTAGAATGTAATGTTTGCTCAATAAATAACTGAGTAGTATTTGCAGCCTAAATGAATCAAATTTTAAAATTCTGTGGACTTTGTTTACGTAGGTCTAAATAAAGCATTTCTTCTCTTTTTAAAAACTGTTCTTACAGCTGAATCTTTCCTCATTCTAATTAATCCAGTTATACAAAAACTCAGTTATTGTGTATATGTGAGTATTTGTGTGTGTGTGTAGGTTTAGGTAAATATACAATAGTCATCTTTTTTTTTATTTTGGTGGTTTTGTCTATTTTACTACTTAAATAAATGATTAAGTGAGTTGTATCTGCAGAAGGTCAGACATATCTGTAGAATGCTCAGAATTTCAGAAAATAATGTTCAGCATTTGTGACAGGAAAGCCTCAGTGGATTTGGAGAGAAGGTTCAAGAGCATGTTAGAGTTAAATGGGTTTGGTAAACTTAATGAGACCACTTCCACTCAGGGATTTGAGACACTAGAGTTTAAGAAGTAGGATGAGTGCAATTATTATTTTTATATTCTACGCATATATCCTATAACAATAACAAGTGAAAAATATCCAGTTTCATTTTAGCATACCTGGTGTTTTCGTTAAATGGGTTTGGTAAACTTAATGAGACCACTTCCACTCAGGGATTTGAGACACTAGAGTGTAAGAAGTAGGATGAGTGCAATTATTATTTTTATATTCTACACATATATCCTATAACAATAACAAGTGAAAAATATCCAGTTTCATTTTAGCATAGCTGGTGTTTTTTTTTTTCCTGTAGTAATTGCAGGGTTATTATTTAGGTTATTTAACTTTTATATTATAGAAGGTACAGAAGGCAGTTAGCATTGTGGGAAACGATGTGCTTCTGAAATGAGTATTACTTGCTATTAATGACAGGTAGTCAGAGGTGACATTATTGCAATTTTAAAATGTAGAAATATAATCATATTTTTTAAAAAATGTGCCAACATATGCAGATTTGGTAGAGCTAGGCCTAATTCTCACATTTCATGGGAAATGAATCCAATCTACAAGGACATTTGTTTCTCCTTGACTTCAGAAATTTTGGGAATAGTAGATCCTAGTGTCTCCAATCTCATTATCAAATCAGACTTGTGAGATGGCCTGAAACTGTCTAGTCTTCCAGAAAGTCCTTATTTACTCAGGTATGACTCCCAGCTAAGCCTGCTGCAGGCTCACACATTCACGGCTGGTTATGATAGATTAAACCCAGCTCTGACACTAGCAGCAGAGTGAGCTAGATCAAATTCCTTACCCTCTCTAACCCACTAGTTCCAATAATGTACTGTGGTTTCAGACTCTACTTATTCCCCTTTCCTCTGAGTGACTCTTTGCATATCAAAAACCATCCATTTGTAAAGCAAGGTTATCAGTATCTACCATGCAGGCCTATTGGGAAGATTAAATGAAATGGTGTCAGTACTCAGTCTGCAGTAGGTCATATTTATACTAAATCCAAATAACCCAGAGTCCTATGTTAAGATAGTAAAGGAACAACATTTTGTTCAGTTGAGATACCATAAACAAACTGAATCAGACAAGGAAATATATTATTTGTGAAGGGCTCTTCACAAAAGTCAGCAGGAGAACAAGAGACACAGATGTTTAATGAGCAGTTTAGTTATTTGTATGGTCTGTGGTGCCTGGGGAGTGGGGAAATATATGTGATTATGGAATTGATATAAATTGAGAGAGGCAAAAGTTCAGATTTATGAAAGTATATACTCCACAAGAGAAACATGAAAGGGAAATCTAAGGATGAGAATCTTTTCTAGTATCTCAGATAAGTGGTGTTGAGAGGGGATTTCATAAGCATCTTAACAAATGCTATAGTGGAGGTAACCAAAAATAATATTTGAAGCCAAGTATTTAGAATCAATTTACAAGAAAAGTGACTGAAAGTTACTTAGGAAGCTATGAAAGCTAAGAGCTTGAAACATCTTAATGAAAAGAGGAAAGCAAGCCATAGACTTGGTAGGGAATAAGAGTAAGAAAGAATAGAGTTTGTATGTTGCCAAGGAGATGAGACCTTCCTTCAATACAATATCATGATAACAGCAAACATATCTTTGAGAATCTGGGAGAATTTTTCAGATTTAGAAGGAGAATAAACAAATTATTTTTATGATGTCTATAAATAAAAGTAATGTAGACATGACAAAGGGGAGCAAATATCCATTCATCTCCTCAAATGTCTAAAATATTATCTTTGAGAATCTGGGAGAATTTTTCAGATTTAGAAGGAGAATAAACAAATTATTTTTATAATGTCTATAAATAAAAGTAATGTAGACATGACAAAGGGGAGCAAATATCCATTCATCTCCTCAAATGTCTAAAATATTTTAAAATCTGTTTTATAAAAATAGTGTAATATGTTTAAAAAATGACAGTAACAAAAGCTCTTTCAGGAAGAAGCAAAGTCGAAGGCCCAAAAGAACAAAACAGAAACCTAAGTATAGAAGAATTCAAATGTAGCATATACAGAAAAATAGTGAAAGAATCACATAACATTAACCAAAGAAAAACAAGTGAAGTTTGCATACAGCATCTCAAGGTGAGAACATAAACTCGGCTCTACTGAAAGGCATCTAATAAGAGGATGAGACGGCCTTCCTGGAATATTACATGAACAAAAATGTGTGGCTGATGGAAAAGTTCTTTAAGCAACTGTTTCAGCTGGAGGAAGAGGAAGTGTGCTAATGCTAACCAAGAAATAAAGGAAGAAAAGATTTTACAATTATTTTTTCAGTTCAAATCGAAAGCAGTGGATGCTAATTCTTAACACAGGGAAGTGCTCTTGGGATACATAGCCCCATTGCTAAGTGGTACAAGAATTTTCATACTGCACAAGAAAATCAGTGGTCCTTGGGAGAGAGGTGACAAAACCAGGATAAGCTGTTTGTGCCTGTCTGCAACTTAGTCTTTCTATACTTTCCCTTGGTAATCTCTCCCAGTCTCTCTGACTCTAGTCTTCCCTCTTCACACAACGTGATACGTAGTTCCTAGATTAATCCACC